TCTGCTTAAGGCCCCATAAGATCTTGTTAGAGTCCTGGTTTAAAAGAAAATTAATTTTAAAAAGTGACCTAAAATTGACCGTCAATAAATGTTCTACAAAATTGATATATTTATTTGATTTCTTTGATTTGTACTGTCTGTTTAGATTTATGTGATTTTTTTGCACAAAATATATAAGTGAATATTGTAACAGTTATGTTTTCAACTGTAAGCATTAAATTGATAAATGTTATTCGCATTTTTTTGGCTTTATCCTTTCCAACAAAAAAAAAAAGGCGTCGCGCAGGTAGCTCCCTTTCCTTATGAGCCGTCCCCACCAACTTTCAACACAAAGTTACACCCTTGTCTTAGACAACACCTTAGCAGGTGCACTGAAAAAATTCGGCGCGCGCTACGCGCGCGCATTATCTTCTAGGGGCTAAGCCACCCTTGTCTCTTAAACCTAGAGACGCCCCTGGTATACAGCCTTCGTAATTATGAAATTTTAGAAATTCATAAAAATACAAACTTCCCTACCGCTGCACACAATCTCCAGTGATGATTCTGATTGTTACTCTGGATCCCTGAGCAAGATTCTTATTGATTTTCAAAATTCAAAATGGAAATAAATTTAATTGGTTGCACTGCAATTTATAATGTTGGAATCACAGCTGAAATAAAATAAAATCTTTCAAATTGATTTGTTTGTTTTAGTTTTTATTTCTCATACATAGAATAAACCATAACAATAAAGTAAAGAGTCAGCACTAACACTAACTAAGTCAGTGCTAACTAGGCATGCCCAAAGGCAGTCCTCCAGGGCCGCCGTCCTTCAGGTTTTAAAGGTTTCCCTGCTGTAGCACAGCTTATTTCCATTTATTGTTGATTGGACACTTTTCTTGCAGTGTGAAAATTGCCTTAGAGCAGTGTTAATTACCTCACTTCATAGTGTAAATTTAATCTCAGTTTAGTTCATTAAAACAAGTACTCTGAAACAATGTTTAATATTTAACTATTTTCAAAGTGTTAATTCACCTCTGAATACTGTGGATATATGTAAACCCTGAAAAAGTTTTTAAACTTTGAGTTAAATCAACACTGGACTTTTTGCTGTTGTCTTCTCAAAAACACAAAAATGAATGAAAAGGAATGCAAAAAATCTTTCCTGCAAAACAACTTAAAGTTGGAGGAATTGTTTCAATATATTCAAGGCCAATCGTAATCAGTTTGTACATGAGATATTTTTGTAATTCTTTAATAATAAGTGGTGTTAATTTTGTTTTAAATACATTGATGGGGGGTTTTTTCTTTCATATACTGTATATATGTTACATTAACTAGTTTTGATTTGTAAATATATTTCTGTTTTTATGTTTGCGAGCTTAACATAGCAAGATTATTTCCAGTGTATTCAGTTTAACCTATCCACAACAATTGCAATTAGGATTAGGTGCCTTTTCAGGATGATTCTCGAGTAGTGCCGAGAATCTTTTGAACCAGAAATCTTAAGGATGGGAGAAATGTTTTGGTTTGTTTGTGTTCTTCTTGTGTTTTTATTAAACAAACAGTATAAAAAAAGACTCTTTGAGGTACAAATAACATTCCAACATAGGTAGAAAAAAACAAAATAAAACATGGGGCTAAGACTAAAGACAAACACATAAACAGTAAGACTAATGAATAAAAAAAAAAGCAATACTTGAAACAAAAGAAAAGAAGAGATACTGAAAGTTACTTTTTTTTTTTTTTTGGCAAAAACTGTTTTCAAATGTTCCAGTGAGGTGTTTAAAGGTTAAAATGGTCAAGGAAAAATCTAAACAAGCAGAACTTCTACATTTACAACAGTGTACATGATATTTAAGACGCAAGAAGGCAATATTTACCATGTGAGATATTTGACTATCCAGGTCATCAACATTTATACAATATGTGGTTTAAAAGAAAAAAAGATATGATTAAGGGATTCTCCTGGACATTCACAAAAGGCACAACATGTTGAATCAAATGTAAATCTTTTGTGCAGAAATTCTGCCACTGGGTAGATTTTAAAGTGTCTCTTAAACTTTAGGTGAAAGCGTCCATTTTACATACCGTACTTGGAGAATGGGTTCTCAGTTCTAGACAGATTTTTCGTTACCGAAATACCATCACTGGAATAATTAAACAATTTAGATTTGAAGGCAATCAAAAGCATTACATCATTGCACTTCCTATCCATCACACTATATTCTCCAATTTTCATTTTGTGTAAAGATGGGTACTAGGGCTGCGCAGTGGGTAGAGCGGGCTTGAGTCCCGGCCCGGGGTCTTTCTGCAAGGAGTTTGCATGTTCTCCCTTAGCATGCGTGGGTTTTCTCCGGGTACCCCGGCTTCCTCCCACAGTCCAAAAACATGACTGTTAGGTTAATTGACCTGCCTAAATTCTCCTTAGGTGTGTGTGTGTGTGTGTGAATGGTTGTTTGTCCTGTGTGTCTCTGTGTTGCCCTGCGATGGACTGGCGACCTGTCCATGGTGAACCCCGCGTCTCGCCCGTAGACAGCTGGAGACACCTCGTGACCCCACTTGGGATTAGGGGTGTCAGAAAATGGATGGATGGATGGCTGGAGTAACACTTAATTATCTTCAAACCAGTCAGTTTTAAAACTAGATTTTCGATCTATTTTAATTTTTTTTCGTATTAATTTAATAGATTTTCTTATTAATATTGATCATCTATTCCACACTACGGATCCATGTGAGGTACAATTGTGAGTAAATATAATATTCCAAAAATGTAAAACTTTTAGATATAGATTTAGGATTATGAAACCATATTGATTTGGAATTAGACAAATAGGTCTTCAGCCAATTTATTCCAAATGAACCAATCAGAGCCTCAAAATCTAAAGCTCTAATAGCTCCCTTATCATAATCTTTAATAAGAAGAGTTCCTCATAAATAAGGATTTAAGCTTCTCCAGATAAATTGAAAGATTATTGAATTTTTTTCTTTATATTTTTGTCAGAGATAAAAGCAGAATGGCATGGCTAAATTTATTTGGACACTCTTCCAGCATTGGAAAGAAGAAATTATCCAAAAACAGTCAGATCTCTAGTTAACCAATGGCTCAAGGATCTCTTAATGCCATCCAAGCATCTTCCAATGTTTCCTGCTCTCTTCTAATAGTATTTTTCAAAATCAATATTCCCAGAAATTGAACTTTAACTGTAATGGAGGCTACAGACACATCAGAGCTGGAATGGAATGGTAGAAGTTCACATTTATCTATATTGAGAGACAGATCAAATGCTCCAGAAAACCTTCAAACGTTATAAACGTTCTAAAAAATTTTAGAGCGATGTTTACCGTAGTTTTATCTTTTAGAAAAATTGTTGTATCATCAGCATATTAACTTCTCTTGAATTCCTTTTTATTTTAATATCATGCAAATTAGAATATTTCATAAATAGTAAGGTAGGCATTTGAGTTGTTAATATAAATAATTTAGGTGAAATTGGGCAGCCCTGCCTGATTCCTCTTGAGATAGAGAAACCAAGTGTCATACAGGGAAACTTAGCTACTTATATCACTATGAAATAATCTGATTACGGTATATTATAATTTTTTTCCCCAAAGCCAAAATATTTTAAGGTTTTTATTGCAAATCAGTGTTTCAGTGAGTCAAAAGCCTTAAAGAAACCCAGGAATAAAATAAAACTGTCACTATCAATAAAGCCACGATAATCAATCATATCAAAAATCGTTCTTGTATGATGATGGATGTTTCTTCCCTTTATGAAAGCTGACTGCTTTTCATTAATAATCATTCCTAATCCAATATTTAAGCGATTGGCATAAACAGCAGTGAAAATGATGTAAGCTGTACATAAAAGAGTGTTGGGTCTTCAATTGTCTGGTGATAAAGGATCTTTGTTGGCTTTGGGGATCAGTTATCAGACCAGGTTTTATGAAGGCAAAGAGATCATTGTTTGAAGTGCATTCCAAAAGAAAGTATAAAATTCAGTGGTTAACCCATCTAGGCCAGGAGATTTACCCTTTACCATTTGTTGAGATTTGAAAACATCAAGTTGACTCAGCTCTTCAGATGATAAAACAGATTTTGAACATGGAGAATTAATATCGCTAATAAGATGGGATTGTTTTTGTCTCCTTATCTTTTAATCAAATTTGCATATCTTTATTGCTGTTTTCCTAACATTAAATTTAAACTGATCCAACTTAGTTAAGAGCACCAGATCCGTTACTGAAATATCCTCCATCAGGTTCAGGACCTCTGAACAAAAAGTTTTATTATTTAGCAGATTACTATTAAGCTTCCTAGCTAAGTTTGATAGTGGTTTATATTTATTCAGAGAAAAAAAAGATAAATGAAGAATGATCTGAAGAGGAGGCGCTGAAATTTCTTGAAATATCATTGACCATGTTATGAGGGATTAACCAGTAATCTAGCCTAGATCATTGCCTATTTCGGGAAGGGTTGAACCAGGAGTATTGACTGGTATTAGGATTTCAAATTCTCCAGCAGTCTTTCAAATTTGTATTAGAGATTAAATTTACAAAGATATTATGTATGGTGCTGCCCTGAGAGAGGAGATGATTAATCAATTAATATTGAGTTACATAAAAATCTCCTCCTAAAACAACCTGATCAGTGGAATATTTTATTTTCTATTGTTTTATATCACTGTGATGCAGCAAAAAATCTACCATTCGTAGCTTTATTATTATATCCATATACAAACAACAAAATTATCTTATTTCCATCCATCTCCACTATTACAATTACCCAGTGACCATTTGTATCACTGAAATGCTCAAACAGAGAACCTGGAAATTTATAAAACAAGCTATGCGATGTACCATGACTAGAATAAATTTGATCAACCCATTGAAATTTCCATAACTTAGCCTCGTCATTTGATGAATGAGTTTCTTGCAGAAAAAAACAGTTTGCCTTTTGCTCTTTGCAATAAAGATAAATAGCCTTACGTTTGACAACATTTTTTAAACCCCTAGTATTAAGTGAAAGTAATGACAACATGAAATAAACATTTTAAGTTGTGCGCAAACAAATCTCAGGAACAATGAGCAGGAATGAGATAAAATAACCAGTAAAAATTATAATAGTGTGCTAGCCCTTTAAGCAAATACAAACAGAATATACCAAACCAGAGGGAGTAAAAATTGTACACCTCCAAAAAAACTGGAAAGGGCCATGTGAAAAATATCAAGCAGCTTCGGGGAAAAAGGTCCACTTCTGGAGCAATCATCCAGGAAAAAAACAACACAACCCAAACATCTTTTTGTTGGGGGTATTATTGAGGAGAGTGTTGGCTTAGTTGAGGGGAGTGTTGGCCTAGTGTTTAGAGCAGTGCGCATGTGCTCTGAGATGGTTCAAGTACCTGGTTCGATCCCAACAGTCTGCACTCTGGCTCCCTGAGCAAAACCCTTAACCCCACACTGCTCTCCAAGCAACTTTTTCATGTTCTTATAGTTTACCTTTGTAGAGACATTACATTAAGAAATTACATTGGCAATGTAAATGATACTTTTCAGTGCATCTTAAAGTTTAAAGTTTGGGGGCCTTGAGGGCCCATTATCAATGTTTTTCATGGGGCCCCAAATTCCTGGTGGCTCCCATTTTTAATTTAAACAAATAAAAATCTCCCTCTCGCCACTAGAGGGTGCTCCAGCTCCCCCAGCAGCCCCACTTCCCGCAGCCATAGAACTGGACAAAGTTAAACTCTGAATGTTTATTTTTATTACAGGATGAAAATACAAAAGCAAAAAAATATATAATTTCATGCTAACACAATACCATATCTGGCAATCACTGATTTCCCAAAGAGTGTTTGACAATAACTTTACAAATTAAAAAGGAAACCTTCACAAAAACATCTTTTTCATAACATCACGATAACCATACAGCAAAATTTTTTTATTCAGAATTAAAGACCTGAACCTGATACAATTTAAGATTGATCCTCAAAAATGTAATTTCAAGGCTTTTTGCAATGCAGAGCAGATCAGTTTTATATAAATAATCTGTTCAACCACATCACAGAGACAGATTAAGAGTCATATACAGTGCATTCCAATTAGATACCATTTGCAGTATAAATCATTACATGCAAGTTCAGTTTAGGACAGAGCTAGGACAGAAAGGTTGGTTTATGTTTGATGCATCTATGTTCTATAAGGAATCCAAATGTTTTTATTTTCTACGATGGACTGGCGAACCTGTCCAGGGTGTACCTCGCCTATTGCCTGTAGACAGGTGGAGATGGGCACCAGCACCCCTCGCAACCCCAGCAGGGATAAAGCGTGAGAGAAAATGGATGAATGTTTTTATTTTTTTCTTTAACAGGCATTGTTGTTTATTTCTTGAATTATTTATTATGTTCAGTTAAGATTTTACACATGACCAGTAAGCTGTAAAGCCCAAGTTTGTTTTTTTCTTTCAAAGAACTGTGACATTAAAGCTTAAATAGAGTTTTGAGAAAAACAATGGGTTTACTCTAAAGCCTTGAGAAAGCAAACAATAATATCCAACCAACCCCCTTTTACTCTTCTGATCTACAGCTCTCTCCACAGCAGTTTAACTTAAATTCAATATTTACAATAAAGACTTTATTTTTGAATTACATAAACCCTGAATGCAAATAAGATGGGCTTTCAAGAAAAAACAAGTTAACTACACTACATATAAGAACCAGTTAGTCTTTTTTCTAGACATCAATTATGATTTCACCTGAAGCTGAATGATTTCTTGAGACTTTCCATTGCCTGCTCTACTGTGATTTTCTTCCAACCATCAGGAATGTCAGCAGGCTCTGCTTTATATGCTTCAGCAAATTCCTTGTTGTACTTGTTCATCACATATTTCCAATAATCTGATGCCTCATAACTTGAATCTAGAGTAATTTTCCAGTCTGGATAAATCTTCCTATATTCTTTGAAAGGATGCCATTCATTGTTTGTATCGCTACAGCGAAAATACTGGTTACTGATAACGAGAGAATTGCAGATATCAGTACTGAGTTTTCCTGAACCTGTCCACCTATGCTGACCCAAACCCTCTGGTCGATGCAGGGAAGCAAAGTGTTCACTGTGAGCTGCTCCACCTGCATCACAGGGTATTTCACAGAAAGGACACTGCTTGCCACAACCAACCACTCTGTTGAAAATCTCACCCTGGGGTTTTAAATGGAGATGCCTGAGTTTTGTTTCAAAGTTTGTGTTTTTAAACTTCTCCCTAAGAGCTTCTTTCATTTCCTTCACACACTCACTGAGCCAGTGAGCAAACTGTTCCTGGTCAGCCTTGTTCAGAACCATAAAGGCATTGAGAGCATCCTGGGGAATTACCAGTTTATTACCAAGTTCTTTGCAGATATTTTCAACAAATGTCTTCACACTATCAGTCTTTTCTGCTTTTGCTTTTTCAATGGCAGCATTCATGTGGTCAATGCAGGACTGAAGACGTCTGTCCTCTAACTCACATACTGAGAACTCAGAGGAGAAACTCTCCTTAATTCTAT